ATACGAGGCGAGCGATTAGGCCGAGCGTTTTCAAACGTCGTCGTCGAAAGCGGAAACGGTTTAAAAACACGGTCGTAATTGCTCGGTAGATCGAGGCGCGGGAACGAAGTGGAGAATCGTGTCTGCGTCGATATCGCAATCGCGTTGGCCCCGGCGAGATCGGCCTCCCCACGCTTCTAGGAAACGAGTTGACGACCATACCACGAGTGGTACGATCGAATTTACCGGCGGATCGTGTCGCGAATACTTCATCGCGTTTCGCGGAAACGAGGATGACGCGGGGGGGGCAAAAGGAGCCGCCGCGAAATTTCCCGCTTTTACGCGGCTAACCTTTGACCCTCCCCCTCGAGAGATACGGACGCACTATTGCGCACCTTTCTCCGCGCTACGGATCGCGCATACCGATTTTACGATTGTGCGTTCGGGGAAGTGAGTTCTGTCTCTCTGGATTTTTTTTTTCTTACTTTTTTTCTTTTTTCTTTTTTTTTTTTTTTTTGAGGCACGGTATTCCCGGTTGGAGTACTGCTCGTTCGAAATTATTCGAGCAATTTAACAGAAGTGAAATCGAAGATGGATAGATTGAATTAGAAATTTCTCGAATTTAGAGAAGCATTATATTTTGAAAGTGAGAAATGATTTATTATTTGTTACGGGGCTGTTACGGGGGAACATTTGGACGATCTTTTGATGGGAATCGAGATTTTCTTATTTGAGATGGTATATCGTAGTATTTGGGGAAAATTAATCGAGTAATTTAATAGAAGTGAGATTGAAAGGAACTAAATGAATTAGAAATTTCTCTAGAGGATTTCTTGCCGGAATTATTACGCATTATTGCGTAACTTTTTAAACTTTTAAAAATGAAATGATTTATTATTTGTTAGATTGATCAATTTCAGCTTCTCGCTGAGATAGATGGCAGATTTTCTTGATGTTAACTATTAAATATCGTTTATTCCCTATCATTCAACTACTACGGATACATTGCTATTTGCAGTTTTTTATTTTATTTATTTATTATTTTTTTTTTTATTAAACTTTCTTCATCGTATAATTTAACGGCTGAATATTTCACAATAATCTTATTTGTAACTTTATAACTGCTGGTTATTGATATCAAAAAAAAGAGAGGAAGAGAGAAAGAGGGAGAGAAATAATAATAATAATAAGATGAAGAAAAGAAAAAAGAAGAAGAGACGTTAAAAATCCAGACGAAGAAGATGATATCAATTATTGTGACGAAAGAAATACGTAAGAACATTTTGTAATCATACTAATCAAATATCAAAGATTACGAATGTTTCTCTGAAAGAATAATGCAGAAAATCATCCCTGATACCATATTATTAGAACGTAATTAAATAACTCTTATTAAACATTTCTTGTGGATCTTTTCTTCTTGTATACATATCGATACAATATCGTAAAAGTATTTCAATCAAGAAGCCAGTTAGAAACGAACAATAATCCAAATCGATTGATGAGATCCTCTGCTAAACGGACAAGAATTCGAAATATTTATGTGCTCCCTGTTGATGCATTTCTTCTCTAACTAGCCACCCTCGATCATCTCTCAAATAAAATTTAAAACCCTTCACCTTTTTTCGTTAATTTACAATGCAACACTTGACTGCATTGCGGATGACCACATCCTAGAAGGGATGCCACAAAATATACTAAGAATTGCTCATAAATCTTTGTTACTGTGGCACAGTAACAGGAAATAAGATCAGTTTAATTTTTCAATGAAATGCATTTCTGAGAATTCCCTATATTTATATTTACATTTCGTGTTTCCATCAAGATCGAGAAAAGATAAAATGAATAAAAAACAAATTGTTTAATCTACGTCTTTGAAATTGAAATTGGAACGGAATCGAGGAAATCTTCAGGGAATGGACAATGACTCGTACAATAGCCTACATTCTATAAATAGTAGTACGTAATCTAATTGAATCTTTGACCCTAATTCGTGAATGCTTGGAATCCTCGAAATCTATTTCGCTTCGATTCGTTCAATTATTAAACATTTTCCAGTGCAAAAAATTATTGCTCCAACAACTTTAATTATCATTATTATTAACTTTCACGATCAAGTGGATAAACGTGTTCCAGATTAAAACCAACATACTTTGCCAACTTTGCATCAATTTCTGATTCACTAATGCTAATTCTTTTCTTCTTCTACTTCTTCTCTCAGAACAAATATTAAGAAAATCTTTATATACGATTTATATCTTTCCACTCTATATATAATAAAATCCTCGAATCTGTTTCATCCTCCGTGGATCTTAACCCCATCGCTCAACGTAAGCTCAACGAACTCGCTTCTTTTCAACGCTGTCGGCGGTTGAAAAGGAAAAAAATTGCAAAATCATCGAACGCAACGCGTTAACGAGAATCGAACGCGTTGCACGGGCCGCGAAACGTTATAATTTTAGTGATGAATCTCCTCAGAGCGGAGAGAGGATGACGCAATTACGGCCTCGTGGCTGATCGCGAAGGAAGCCCGGGATCGTTTGAATGTGAGCCACGATGACGACGCGACTTTTCGATGTAACGATGATTTATTAATCGGCAGCCGGATGCGCACGGCCGCATTTCCCGAATCGGCGCATCCCGTGCGATCGAGTTTCATGGAAGCGAGGCGAGGGATTAGCCTGGAAAGGAAAATCGCAAACGATTGGATTTCCCGTCTCGATGACACTGTAATCCGCTTATCGATGTTCACGCGAGTCTCAAATGGATCGATCCGATTTGAATTACCAAGCCGATTAATCGTGTTTTCTTGTGAATAAATTAATGATGTTTGAGAGTTGCGTAAACGACACGCTCGTCTTACCTTCTTTAAATTAAATTTCGAACTCTGTGAAATTGTTATGCACGTAAAAATATGCACTTCTTTTTTTAAATTTTTTAAATTGAGATTGCGAATATTAAAATGTCGATGATGGTTTTCAAGAAGTTAGGACAAAAGTTTGTGGATGAATCGAACAATGTAGTATCAAGTAAGAACATGTATGATATGGCAAATACTTGCCAAGATAGTGATCATTACGGGTTTGCTCAAAAAGGATCTGGATACCGACGAGTCACATCCGTAACATTCGGAACAGAAGATAAACCGAAGCACGTATAAAATGTATAAAGAAAGCCAGTAACGTTGAAGAAGCTAAAATTTAAATTATCCATCCAGTTTCACCCAATTCGTGGAATTCGTGCGAAAAGGAATTTGTAAGTGGATTCTCGATCTCGCGTTGCGACATCCAAAGAGCCGACACTCCACTTCCTCGATCCTCGAGATTAATCGAAAGTCGAGCCTCCTAGCAAAAATACATCACGAGGGATCGAGGGAATATGGTGTCGATGTGCTTGGGCAATTCACGCACACAGACGTGTCTCGTCAACGGGCCAGGTAAAGAGATCGACTCTTGACCGGCGTGTCCCTTCCTCTGTCGTAAGCTGGACCAATTTCTATGGTGACTCGCCTTATAAATCGGCCCTCGCCTCTTTTTACGAGCTTCGTATAAAGTTTGGACGAGTCCTCTCGATAACGAGCGTTCTTCTTCTTCTTCTTTCGCTTTGTACAATTTCTTTCCTTCTCTCTTTCGGATCGTTTCTTTTTTCTCCGTCCACAATTTCGAAGAATTCGAGCAACAATCCTCTGCAACAACCGCGTGTAAAACAGAGGAGAGAACATCGGCGTTTCTTTTATGATTTCCATCGTATGAAAAGAAAAAAAAAAAAAGAAAACACGGAACAAACGGGTTATCGCTATTAAACGCGACTTCGTTCCTACACGACGGAGATCTTCGATTTAACGATCGTTTATTTCGGGTTTCAGGAGACGGTTGATTTGTATAATCACGTGAAAACAGGTCTGGATATTTTGTTAATTATCTTTCTGTTATTGGACGGATATTTAATAGAAATAATTGCGTTATAGTGTGAATCGTTGCGAGCAAAACGATGTTTTTCTTTCCTTAAGCTTGTTAAAAATTTCTCTCTCTTTCTCTCTCTCTGTCTCTCTTTTTGATTGGTCATATTTCGTTTCTATTAACGACCAGTTATGTTTTTACGTGTTTTTTAATTGATAAATAGGTGTCGGATTTATTACGACGTTCGGGTGATTTATGGGACAGTTAAATGCCGAGTTTCAGAATCGAAATTATTTAAATTCCGTCCTCTTCTATTTATCGATCGAGTTTGGAATTCGAAATTAATAGGGGAAGCGATTACCAATAATTCTCCAGTTTATTCAGAATCAGAACTCCGTAGGAGAAATAGATATATCCCTGCTATAAATTTATTAGTATTATCCAGAGTCAATGTCCAATGCAGTACACATTATTATAAGTTTCACGCGTTACGAACGCAATATTTCTATCCCCAAATCCTTACGAAATTCAAGCAACACACCGGTCCTATAATATCGTCATAAAGAGATCTGTTTCTCGCTATAACTCATTCCGATATCCATCCTTCTCCTTAATTTCCATACTTCCATAAACTTTCCTAAACCAAGCTTCGTTCCACATCCAATAACAACTCCACTCATTCCAATTGTGCGCCATCCCTTCGATCAATTGCTATAACATACATTTTCTCGCGAATTTTTCCAAATGAAAAATTCACATCCAATAACAAGTCCACTCATTGTGCGCCATCCCTTCGATCAATTGCTATAATATATATATATATATTTTCTTGCGAATTTTTCCAAACGAAAAATTCCCTCAGCAGTGACTTCTTCCACATCCAATAACAACTCCACTCATTCCAATTGTGCTCCATCCCTTCGATCAGTTGCTACAATATATATACATTTCCTCGCGAATTTTTCCAAACGAAAAATTCACATCCAATAACAACTCCACTCATTCCAATTGTGAGCCATCCCTTCGATCAATTGCTACAATATATATATATTTCCTTGCGAATTTTTCCAAATGAAAAATTCCCTCAGCAGTGAAATCATTCAATAACAACTCCACTCATTTCAATTGTGCGCTATCTCTTCGATCAGTTGCTATAATATATATACATTTCCTTGCGAATTTTTCCAAACGAAAAATTCCCTCAGCAGTGAAACCTTCCAATAACAACTCCACTCATTTCAATTGTGTGCCATTCCTTCGATCAATTATTATAATATAGGCATTTCCTCGCGAATTTTTCCAAACGAAAAATTTCCTCAGCAGTGAAACTTTCCACATCCAATAACAACTCCACTCATTCCAATTGTACGCCTTCGATCAATTGCTATAATTGCATATACATTTCCTCTTGAATTTTTCCAAACGAAAAATTCCCTCAGCAGTGAAACTTTCCAATAACAACTCCACTCGTTCCAATTGTGCGCCATTCCTTCAATCAATTGTTATAATATACGCATTTCCTCGCGAATTCTTCCAAACGAAAAATTCCCTCAGCAGTGAAAGCTGTTTGAAGCGCAGCGACTCCTTCCACAATAGCACGAAGAAGAGAGAAGAAGAGAAAAAAAAGAGAAAAAAAGAGAAAATAGGGAACGGGGCGAGAGTCGAATGGATCCTCCACTCCCTCAATATTTTGACTACCGTGTCAACGAGCCGGCGTGGCGCATTCAGCATGCTCGTCGGCCCGTGACGCCATTCATTCGGCAGCGTTGAACGCTCCCGAACGGAGCAGATTTATCGAACGGCGCGCGTCGCCGCGCTGAAACGGCGCCCGTCACCGTGCGGTTAGATTTGTGGCCGTTGCGGTTTTGTTGCCGGTCGCGGGATGAAAAGGGACAAAATTCCTCCCTGCAAAAGGGCAATTACCGAGAGTGGCGCGGCCAGGCCACCGTGCCTCGATCATTCTTTCCCCCTTCCTCCTCCCCTCCTGGATTACACGTCGTCGGAGCGTATCTGTTCGCGCGAGCTGCCTGTTTAGCGGATTTTATACAGACGCCACGCGGAAACGAGGAGGGGCGACCAGTTTCTGTCTCGCCTCGTTGCACCCCGCTATTGTCACGGTCCGCTTCCGCTTCGTTCGACATTCTTCCAAACTTCCTTCGATGCCTGACTCCAAGTTATTTTATTAAGAATATCGAACGTGAGTATTCCTTCTATTCGAACGAATTTTATTGGAATTATTGGAAATTTGATTGATTTTTTTTAAATATTTGGATAATTTGCAACAATAATCGTTAACAATTGTACCCTCTTTCAGTACGAATTCCTTATTTTTTTTTAATTTTCTGAAGGATATATACTATCATTCGTAGGTACTTCAGAGTCTAGTAATATTGACACGTATCATAAACTTACTTATGATCGATTCGATTCATTAACGCGAGGAAAATATTTCTAGGTAGAGGATCTCGCTACAGGGTGCATTTTGTAACGTAAATAGAAACAATGGGGGAGCTAGAGATGACAGCGGAGAGGTTGATCGGCTGAAAGTGAGGCAGTTACGAGAGTATATTCCCCGTACTCGAAGGAGCGCTCAATCGTGCGGAACGATATATTCACCGTGATGGTTCCGTGTTATGTACTAGCCCGGTAGTTTATAGTTGTCATCCATTAAGCCTATTTAGACGCGAGGGGTTCCCCGTCACTGACGGGGGCCATTGCTTCCTGTCGTCGATCCGACCAGGAAAATATCTGCACGGAAGGAAACCCTCCGAGGTATTCCCGATTCCTCATTTAAACGCATTTGATCACGAAGTTTATCGTGGAATCCATTTATTATTATATTTAAAATTTAAAAGAGGATTATTCTTATTTCCCCGATTTTAATTTCAAAATCTATTCGCAAATTCGTGATTTAAATTAGATATAAAAAAAAAAGGAGAAAAGTCATTGTGTTAGATGAAAAACTCGAATGATTACTCTTCGTTAAATCTTCGTTGCAAAAGAGTTTATCGTGGAATCCATTTATTATTATATTTAAAATTTAAAAGAGGATTATTCTTCGATCTCCTTATTTCCCCGATTTCAATTTCAAAAACTCGTGATTTGAATTAGATACAATTACAAAAAAAAAAAAAAGAGAAAAGTCACTGTGCTAGATGAAAAACTCGAATGATTACTCCTCGTTAAATCTTCGTTGCAAACGACGATATTGACGCTTACAAGTCCTCCTTAATTTAAAAGAGAAATATGTATATTTCGTTCATTCAACAAAAACTTCGATCATTTTCACTCTGATATACTCGAGGCCCGTATGAAGAAGGAGGTCAAAAAGTGATCATTCCGAACGGGATCTCCCCGAGATAGGATCTGAGGCGAGGGGATCGGGCAAGCGGTAATTATCGATTCGTTCGCGTTCAGTTGATCGTTTGAGGGAATTCATTAAGACTCTTTGTTCAGCGCGTCCGATTCTGAAAGATGCCCTGACTCGCGGCGTAGAAACGCACGTGGGGAGGTCCGCGCGATTTTCTGTAATTAAATATGCCGCGAGTGGGCGGTAGGCGGTGGGCAGTCGATTTATCGCGAAAACCGCGAGGACGCGATATTAAATTTCAGATAGGGCCCTTGGTAGTCCCTTGCGCATCGGCGGATTACGTTTCAGGGCCCGTGCCGCCTTCCACGTATCGAACGATCGAGCCTTTTGTTTCGATTCGTGGCGATTCCTGCCTCGTGTACCATCCATCAATTCGTAGGCACGAATATTCTTTGATCTTACAGAATATTTTTCAATATCGAGAGGATTTAATCGGTAGCAAGTATTGAAGACGATTTTTAGTGACGAACCAAAAAAAAAAAAAAAAATTGAAGTTAACCGATTCAATAATTCTCGAATACTTTGCGAACAATTGCTCCGAGCGAAGAAATTATCAAAGAAAAATTATATCGATGGCAAAGTCGATAACAAATTGTAGAATTTCGTTGATTAAATTTTTGTGTGAAGAATCAAGAAAAAAAATTGAAGTTAACCGATTTTAATTCTCGAATATTTTGT